AGAATTTTAATACATCATTTTAACATCTAGAAGGCTGCAAGAATTGCAGTACTTTAATCTGTTACTTGTGTAATCCATGTACTTTTTTCTGGGATGCTCCAAGAGCGACTATGGTGCTTTCTGAACCAATTGTCCATATGTTGGGGACTGTGTGTATGTCTAGGAAATAATTTGTAGAGTAGTTATATCACAGCTCCTACTTCCTGGCAAATCTGACACAGGGGTTATGGAAAACTGATTTGCCACTCCTAACATTTTCGTAATAGTTACAGTAGAATATGCTGAGGTAAATCCATTCAACTCTCCCTCCATCTGTTCATTGCCCAGATGATGTGACAAACAATATAAAGTGGAACACCTACAAACCAGCAACTTAAATCCCACGAGAACAATACAAATCCTTCCTGGAACAAGGGACAGTTTTTGATGAGCCACCTCTCTTTGTTTAGGAGTTCCAGTTTGATATAATTTTTAGTGTTTGCAGCTGACCAAGGGAAAAGTAGGCTGATACAGTGCATTTTCTAATGAAATTTATGGGAATGGCAGTTAGTTAACTCAAAAGCAGTCCACTACACAGTGCTTACATGTCAAATAAAGAGATTTCTGTGAAGCAGATATAATTTCATTGTTGCAGAATAACACATTTTTATAAAAATCTTTTGTGATAAAAAGTAGGGCTGGTAATAGAGAGAATATATCTCCTGTACGTAGCTAGCTGTGCTAAATGAATATGTGCACAAAGCTAAAGAAATCTACCTCCAGGTCTGAACTGAAAAAAAAGTTACATGAAGTAGTGACGTACGTCCAGAATCTTTATTTCCCTCAAGAGAAAATCCAAGGAGAAAACCAGAGCACAAACATTAGTCACAGAGTCTTCTTCCCTAAAATACAGCTTCTATCAATTACATTGCATTATGGTGACATTCTGTCAGAGGAAAAACAGATCAAAGTTTAGATGGCTCTCACCAGGCTCTAGGCTTTTTTAGGGTCACCATTTGTGGCTATATGGGTTTGTGGTTACAAATCTATGAAAAATAAATTTGGCCAGTACTGCAGGTGTATTTCAGCTAAAATCTTATTAAATGGCTTTTTTATGTGCACCACAATAGTCCTGCAGTCCCAGATTTTCACTTTGTGCTGTCATTTTTTGACTGGTTCCATTATGAAACTTGAATTACTTGCTGGTCCTAGATTAGATGTCAGCAGCTGGCATCTCCTTTTAATTCTTAGCACCACCTCTCGATATGAGATGCAGCAGTTTGTTTCCCTCAGACATCTATAATCTAGTTCAGAGTATGACTTTAGCTTCAATGTATAATTTAGGGAAGTTACTGCTCTGGGCACCAGAAAGGATTGACCCTTGTTCTCAAGTCTGGAAAATAAATACTGGAGATTAAGTACCGCAGTTAAGATCTAAGTGGTTATTTAGTTAAATATGACTAAATTATTTAAGGCTGAAGATGAGAAGATTTGTATTGTGATACAGCTAATGACCTGATGGCGAGAACATTTAGCTTTCTAAGCACGAAAGCCTGTACATACTTCTATTTGGAAAATGCCTAAATACAGTGTCAGTAAAGCCTAATGGGTGGGGTGTTAGGCACCTTAAAAAGATGTTTGCCTTTATATCTTTAGGGGCATGTCTGCTAATTCTGTTTCTCAGCATTGCTGTGTTTTCCACTTACGTCTTTGGGAGTTGTCGATACTCTGTAAGCACTCTTGAGATTCAGTCCGTATTAGGGAGATGAAGGCAGGTAACTCAGAGGAAACATCATAGAAAAATAAATATTAACTATGAGATATTGTCAACTGAATCTTTTAGAGTGACATATATAGGAATAAGCCAAAGTGGAACCCAATATGGAGTTGTATCTACAATGGCACACCATGAAGGATATATGGATGCACACTTTCATTTTTAAAAACGGTGATTATTGGAGTGTTGAGTCTTTTCTACACTAATTTACAATATACAGAATATAAATATAATAAGCACATTTATGATCACTTCTGTAAAAATTATTAATTTATTTTTAACACAATTTAAAAATAATTATTAATAATACTAATTGTATTACGTTACTCCTAGAAGCACTCACAATAGACCAGCACTCTATTGAGTTATTCTGATCATGGAACAAGAAAATTTCCTCTGCCATAGGTATTTCCAGTCTTTGTACAATCTAATCTCTGTGACAGACAGGAGACAAAAGATGGCTACATCAGGTGTCAGATGCATTGAATCAAATGGCACATTCAGTATGCTTTGATACGTCATGTTTTATCAAACATCCAAGGAAAAATTGTGCGCTTATATTACACTGTATTTTAAAGGTTGTACAAGCATCATAATACTACCCCTTCATGATACCATAGACTGAATGCCTTTTTCCTTAACTTTGGCTTTCTCTTTCTTGGACAAACATTCTCCGTACTGTTTGCAACAATCCTCCTACACATGGCTGGCAAATAAATAGACTTCATTGTCCTTTGCTTCTGCTGTGAAATGCTGTACTATTGGAATTTAACTACCTTCTTCCTTGTGACTGTTGCTTTGCTTATCTATCCAGCACTACTGTACAAGTCAGTACAAAATTTTTTTGCCTTTTTCTCCTGTATACAAAGAAATTCAACTTGCATCACTCTGCCAGATGGTGCTGTTCATTTCCCCTTTTGAATTAACTCAGTTTTATGGTCTCTGCCCTTACCTAGATTAACTGGACACAGGTTTTCACTCGCCTGTGCAGTGTTGGAATAAGAAGAGTGTTTCCCTGGAACCTTTAAATGTCTGAAGCAGTCATTTACATGTACAATATCATCACCAAAAGTGCACATTTTCTCAGTTGAAATTACAAACAAGTTTAAAATCTCTACACATTTGTTTGAAAATATTTTCATTTAAGACACTGTAAGAAAACCCTTGTGTTCAATTTTAGAGACCGAAGAATTAATCATTCCTATGATAAATCTGGATTGTGAAATAATTTCACTTTTAGCCTAACTGTATTCAGCAGAATAACTGTTTAGAACACTTTGGAATTCTGCTGGAATGTTTACCTCTAATTGCCATGCAAAACACTTCTGCCCTTTCTGCTGGGTAGGGCAAAAAGAACTGTCATTTTAGCATAGATTGGCTGCACCAGCCAAGAATGTGTGGATTTTTTTAAATCATTCTGTTCACACTCTGACTTTCTCTTCAAAGCTATAGAAATTTCTTCAAACCATTATTTTTTTACTGATAGATGCCCTTTCAATATTCTGTCCTCTCTCGTCCTCTCCCACCTTTCCCCTTCCCTTTCTCCGCTCTCTACTCTTATTCCTGAATCAAATGCCAAGGTATTGGGAAAGATACACATGTGTGTACATAGATTCACATATGTGCTCACATCTGCACACAGTTTCACAATGTGTCATTAGGATGCTTAAGTTGTACTATTAAGGAAACTGCAGCTCCTCATCTTTGCCATCCTCATCCTGCCTTAGGAGGAAAGCTAAATACCGCTGTAGCCAGCTGCTCTTTTTATGCTGATTTCTAAAATATTTGACCAAGTGAGATCCAGCAGCAGTATGCAACACTCTGCATGCTGAGAGTTTTGGCTAAGACCATAGCTACTGATGTGGTTGGATAATTTAGCATAAATTTGTCCTGTTTTTAAATAGGCAACTGTAGGTTTGATAGTTGTTTTTTACACTGTGTTATCAGTCTATTATTTAATGGGAAGTTATGGTATTAATAATTAATAGCAATTGTGTACATAACGACTTTCAGGAATTTTTAAGCACTTTGATGTACTTACAGGGGCTTCATTACTTCTGTTTTTCAGAAAGGAAAACAATGGGTGAGAGAGAATGTGACTTGACAAAAGGTCATGCACAAATATTGACAAAAATGACTGCCAGAAGGTAATCTTGGCTTTGTTGACATCAAAGGCAAAACTCACAGAGAAAACAATGGGCTCTCATCCCAGACTCCTGTCCTGACTAGGTGCTGCTGAGGGAGACTGAAGATAAAATGTGTTACTGGAAATTAGTTGGGGTATTTTAGGACTTCATGCTTGTATTTACAGCTGAACACTTTCTGAGTCTGATACGCTACTGTGCCCTAGATGTGATTGCATTGGCTCTCACGTGGGGGTGCTGATGTCTGAAAGTACAGCAGGGTTAGAAATATGTCCCTTTTCTCCTCCTTTGCAGAGCTGAGGGATGAACCGGATATATAAACAAATGTTCATTGCCGTGATCACAGACTGGTGTGACACTGGAAGGGTTATCCTCCTATAATTAAAGTGCCATAAAACCTGTTTAAGGAACAGTTACTGGGACTAGATGTGTCTGTGGATACTGCTTTCTTCTTACTATGACAGACAGAAAGTTAGTGGTAATGACAGAATTATATAAGGAAATGAATCTTGAAAAGTGAGAAAAAGGATCTGAAACTTTTAATGTTAAATTTAAGGATTCAGGAAGATACTCAAATTCTGCACAGAATGCTGGGACCAAACACTTTCAGTCTTTTCAACCTGACTATTTTCTTTAACATCGACAAGTATTATTATGCTTCTTGTGCTTCATGCTCCAATTTATGTCTAGTCTAACTCACTTGTCAGTAAGTTGATGCCTGACGTCAGTCTGGCTCTTAATATCTTCTTTTTGTTAGGTGTTTACCTCACATTTCTATCAAGCATCTCTGTCACTGAATTAAAACATACTTCTTAAAGATAATGTCTGCACTTCCAAAACAGGTGCAATCATCACCTTTTCATTTTCACCTGGTTTAAATATTTTTCAAACTTCACCTAACATGTCTTTTTTTCCCTTTGGAGCTATATTTTTCAGAGTGCTAATCTTATGCAGAAAGGTTGAAATAAGTTAGTAATAAATTCATAAAAACCTTTTAGAATTTTGCAAAATAATGGTACAGTTAAGTAAAATAAAGCAGGCTAAGTAATGATCAGGTTTTTCAAATGATGTTTGTAATGAGTGGGGAAGTAAAAGGTTACCTGAATGGCATTTGTTACATTCCATCCTGCTTCCCAGCTTGTGATCAGTTTGACCTGGGCACGTGGCAGGGGAGCTGGGGACTTGTATTCTGAATCCTGGTGGCAAACATCAAGCTCAAAGTTCAGGGGTCCATCTGGTTCATCCCTATCCTCACTGTGAGCTCTGTTCAGTTCATCTCTTCTGGCAAAGTTCACATGCTCTTCATCAGTGTCTAGGCAGCTGTCCCATCTCACCATTCCCAAAAAGAGAGATGGTGTTTCCCTGAAGCAGTTGAAAAGAGATGAAAAAGTCTGCTTCAGGTGAGCCATCCTGAATAGGGAATATTAAAATAAAATCCTTCCTTGCGTGTCTTTATTTTTTTCAGCAGTTGTACATCGTTAATCCTGTTGTTAGGTTAGCCTTGATATTGTAGCTATGAAGTTTGATGTCCTTAGTTCATTTATTTGTGCTGATTTCAAATACCAGCTAAAGACGTATCTCCAGGGTCTTGAACATACTGCCCAGAGTAGTCTGCAGCAAGATTTAGTAGTCTGCAAGCTGCAATTTACAATTCAAATCCTTTTTCCTTTTACCTATGGTATCTACCTAGATCAGTCATTCATGAAGCATCTACAGGTGGCTGCAAGAATCTCTTCCTGGAAATCATGCGTGTTTCTGATACAAATAAAGAGTTCTGCCAAAAGGCAAAAATATGCTTCATTAAAAACTAGAGTTGATGGACTGACTGCTAAGTAAATGCTTGTAAATAAGTTTGCTTTTACAGATGTGGGAATATTCTGCTGTATTTTAGTGTCTACAGAGGTCAGTAGAACTTTAAAAATGTTCTTTAAAAAGCTCAAAGTTGCAAGGAAAAAAAGAAACTAGCTTGTTCATAGCTATGTCTAATTCACAGTTGCTGGTGACAGTTAGGGGAACGACACAGAGCTGTGATTATATGTTTACTGTATGGATGTAAATGGTGATACATTCTGATTATTCACACTGCAAAATCCTAAAAATAATATTTACCAACGTATCCTCTTCTTTCCTTGCATGGCCCATGGAATTTGTGAAAGAAAGGTAAAGAGAGAGACTTCTATTGCACAGTTATAGGATTATTTATGCCCATTTTCTTTTGTGTTTGCCATGCTTGCTCTACATTCCACTTTCCTCTTTGTTTCTTTATTAAGAGTGCTGGATTTTAACAGCTAAATTTCTACATTAACAACTGAATAACTGGTACAATACTGCTGATCATGCTGAAAAACGTATTTGCTTATAAAAGGTCTGAATTTGACCACGTGAGATCAAGTACAGTCCTTGTTTGCGCCAGCATGTCCTTCCTGTCAGCTGAAATGTCAGGAATTCTCAAAACATATTCAGAAGCTTATATTCCTGAACTAGAATTCTGAACTGATGACTTTTCTGCCAGATATATGTGAACTGCACTCTCACTAGTAACTCTCAGGTGTTGCCCATTTCCAAAACGAAAGATCCTTTGAGGCAGGCCTTGTTGCCTGTTTTTTTCTTATATTCTCAGGACTAAATAAACACAGAGAGAGCCTTCACTGTTACGTATTTTATGATCAGACACTGAAATTTCTCTTGTTCTCATCACAGAACTAATATTCTGAAGCTGTCCACAGTTTATCCATCACTTTTAAAAAACAGAAATATTTCAGAAATACTACCAGGACAGAGTTCTGTTCCTGTTCCTACCTTGTTCAGGCCTCATCACTGTCAAGTCTCATATGTGCCATGTCCACGGGTTTATGGCTGGATGCACTAGGGTGTTTCTTTTACACATTGTGAAATCTGCTCATGTTGACCTGAGGTGAACAACAAGTGGATCTTGCTTGTCAAAATATCCATTTACTGGTACTTCTGAAGACCAAAGTGAATGTCACTAGCCATCTCACAAACATATGATCTCCCGGAGTGACCTGGAAGGTGCTTGAAAATACAGCTATGGATTTTACAGCAAATTTTGACCTCAATTTAGTCCTCTCATCATAGCCATTCCAACAGAAAGCTTCAGGTATATTTCTGAGGGGAATTGCTCTATGAATGGTGTATATACTGCATATGTTAAGTAAACCTAGTAACAATATCTATAGAGTGAAAATAATAACATAAAAATTACAAGGTTGGTTTTCCTAATATATACAGAATAGTCTGACATACACAAATGGAACCATGGGAAAAGGTAAAAACTAGAATGTATTTTCAGTTAATTCTCAAGCATTACTTCTGTAGATGTTTACATTTCCAGACAGAAACATTTTGATGTCATTGACGTTATTCTCATGCGAAAGGTATAACCTTACCAGACACACCATTAGCATTTAAAAAGCCATATTTTATTAATTAAATACAGATAAGAAATATTTTAACATGCTGAGGAATTGAATTACATCAAAAGAAAAATTTATTGTTGTTCATTAACAAATGATGTATTACATAGGAAATTGCATTGTTTATCTGCTGTTTCTAGATTTTTTCTGTCTAAAAGAATTTATTGAGGCAGCAGTCCATGCTGCTTGGTGGGTTTTTTTGTGTTTTTATGGTTCTTTTGTTGTGTTTTTCTTTAGTTTGCTTGGTTTTCCTTGTAAATTAGTCAGGGTTTCATGCAGCCATCTTAATCAAGAGAAGTGAAAGCAAGTTTAGGAACAGAGAGATACCTTTGGATATAGAACTATTTCATTTGCCTATACGTGGTTAGAGAAGAATTGTCCAGTTTTATCCAAGGTTCTCTGACAACAGTGGAAAGAATCCCATTTTCAGATCTCTTACCTGCCAGATACATCTGGAAGTCAGAAAAATTAAATAACAGTTTAAAATGTTCTTTCACAGTTACCCAAAAGAACTTAAAAATAATGTAAAATCTATTTAAAATATAACTTTTAGTTGGTTTAAATTCACTGCTTCCCTACTGACTATCAAATACAAATGCAAGTAGGTTTATATGTTTCCAGAAATATCCAAATTTTAATAAAATATTTATGTTATATCTCCCAAGCTTGGTATACTGTTGGGACTATTTGTTTCACTGAAATATCATTATTAATCTCTGACATACAGCATAGTACAGGGCAAGACAGATTATCATTGTACAATGTTTATTATTATTTATTTATAATACTGCATAGAGACCCTAGCAGCCACCTTTGGATTAAGTGTCTTAAAATCAAATAGTAGAAGACAGCTTCTTTATGAAAGGTTTACGGTTTAACAGGAGAAGACAGACAGAGACTTGGCAATTGGGAGTCTGTCTTTCTTCTTTGTCTACTGGGCATGGATTTTTCGTTCTCTGTATTACCTGCAGCTTTGATTTTTGCAGTCAGTGGGAAAAATTATGCTCTTAGTTACATCACTGTATATCTACTGGCTGTTTCACTGATATAAATAATGAATGAAGGAAGATGTACCAAACCTGGTTTTATTATTGCATTAAAAACTGCTTTCTAGATGACTGCAGCAGTTTTCATATTTATTGTCTTACTTCCAGGCCATCAGAAATAGTAAAGGCAAGAAATGAGAACTGGACTCAGTCAAAGGGTAGTCCAGTTCATCGCTTTTCCCATGCACTACTTCTGCTAGACTTCCTTTCTACCAATGTTCTTTATCCACACAAGCCATTATTACAACTTTCATTAAACCTTATAACTTGACTTAAGAAAAACTTCCTGATTTATAGTAAGCCCGTAAGTATGGTTATCGTTGTCCTCATCACTTAGTCACCTATTTCTATTTCAGTACCTAAATCAAGATTAAAATTTTCTGCTTGTAAAGCAGCATACTGTCACTGTGATTCATAAGCTTGACATGGCTAAATTTCAGGAACAGGAAGAGTGGATGGCTAGGCTTGGAAAAGATATCTTTCTTGGTCAGTAGGATTTTATAGTGCAGCTCTTTCTGCCCGAGGGAATTAAGTCTTCAGAGCTGCCACTTGCTTTGGCCATGTTTTCTTCAAAATAATTTTGACTGTCGTATCCTTCAGTTATAACCTTCAAGGACAGTGTTTCAGAAAAACAATGAAAAGCAGGTCAACAAAACAGTTTCTCAACCCCGTTAGCTTTTATCTTACATAACAGTGTATTTACAGATCTTTTTCTGTAATAGTCAATCCTATCTCTTCCTTATAATCTCACTTTTGCTGTGGAACATGGGTTTGGTTCAGGTACTGAGGCGTAGCATGTTGTGGCTGCTTAGCATACTCTTTCATAAGGGAGAAGACCTCTCTCCACAAAAAAGGTGTCTTAAGGAGTCACCATTCTTAGTCATGAGGCTAGCTGGGGCAAATACAGCACTTCTAGATATGTAAGACTTTCTCTAGAAGAAATGTCTGCTTAGAGGACATGCACTGCTATTACTTCCCATAATGGAATATATAACTAAAAGGCTTTTTCAGTCTTTCCCATATCAATGCACTAGGCCTATGTGTAAACCTCGGCCCAAGAGCATGAAAATTTGAGAGTCAGGCAAAGATAGATCTGTGGTGTATTCCCACAGAACCCTGAAGCTGTATAATAGAGCGACCAGGGATGCAGGTGCACTGCCAAGTGCCCATGTTGCACTGTTGCACAGTTTAGCTACATCCTGGCTGTCCCACTCTTCAGCATGAGATCAAATGGGTCCTTTTTTTGTAGAGAAGATGTTTTTTCATATTAATCTAGCTTTCAGTTCTTCCTGAATGACTTTAAACTAAAATAGAGATGACAGTGAAAAATGAAAAAATACCTGAAACAAAACAGCACTCTGTTTAACTGACATATCCAGAAAAAAATATCACACACTACTCATCCACCCTTTGCCTTGTGTATGTTAACGGTGACTGAGATGAGTAATTTTTTTGTAGTGAAATAAGGATTTTGGTTTTGGTACTGTGTATCCCTAATACAAATGTTTTCAGAGGTTTTTTTCACACTTGTAACTGATGCTTCTTATGAATGCTCAGGTTTCTTAGCAAAATTCATCTTCTCCAGGTGTTTTGGCCAATTGCACAAATTTAGAAAGCAGACACAGAGAAGGCATAGCACTTGATGAAAGACAATATTAGTAGTTGATTGTATGATTGTGGAAAGGTCTCTTCGCATACACTTACATTTATTTGTATGCTTTTGTAAGGTTTTCTGTATTGTTGCTTGCTCTATGCATATTACTCTGACAACTCTGTAAGTAGTTATTCAAAACTATATTCAAATATGCAAATATATATATGACTGTAAATGTGTGTGTGGCGCTTTACAAGTGCATGAAAGATACGGTGCCTCCCCTAAGAAGATAAACCCTAGTCCAGAAAGAAAAGAATTAATGTGGAACCAACTTAAACAAAAGAATGGAGTGGTTAACCCTGAACAGATCAGTACTGGAAGGTTTCTTGAAAAAGCCTGATCGTTGGCCAGAATTTGTAGAGGACAGTTCTTGCCAGAGAAGAAGAAGGAGATCTTCAGTGCTTAAAGGACATGAAAGGAATTAAGCCAGTAGTGGAGGGATAAAGAAAACAGTAGGAAAGAGGACTGTAAGAAACATAGGTCTGCATGGTGTAAGTAAGAGAAAATAAGAACAGGCATAGAGACAGAAAGGAAACTGGAAAGATCAAGTGTTCAAGGGCAGAATGTCGTAGTATTAAGAACTTTGTTACTTATTTACATAGAATACAAGATGTGCCATAAAAATCTCCATTTGTAACCAGAATTGTGAATCCTTTTCTGAGTTTCTCAAAGTTGCTACACACTAAGATTATTTCTATTTCTTGCAATAGTGGGAAAGAGAATAATTTCTGGCAATTTTCAGTGAAGTATATTCTGCTGTGATTTGTGAAATGTGATTTATGAGGATCAGAAAGAATGCCAAGGTAAAAGAGAGAAAAATACTTCATCAGGAGTGGCTATGGAAACACATCCCAGCGATGGCTGTCAAGGAATATATCTCCAAACCAAGCTCACAAGAGATACAAATGCCAGAAGTGGATATTGACCTTAATTCAGGACATTCGTAGGCATGCATTATGATATAGTCCTTAACTGTGTAGATGTTTCTTTCTTCCCATCAGCTAGTATGCTGAAGAGAAATTACCATTATTTAGGAATAAATTAGTGTTATGGAACTAAGATGACTGAGGATCTCTGGAAGGGGCAAGGTAGTCTTATACCTAATAGAAAAATGTGTTTTCCTTCTGACTGCAACACGAAGTTACAGCTTGGTGAGTTGCACCATGTTTTTTACATGGTTTAATGTAGCTGGGAGTCCTCTGAGTAGCAGAGAAATTTTCTGATCTACCCATTTAGGTCCCTTTCATACACATGATAGAATAAAATAGGTGCTTTTAGAGAGTGGTTTATCTCCTACTAGAGCTGGCACCTGAAGTAGGTCAGATAACATAGGTCAGAGCCATAAAATTGACAATTTCCCCCCTCTCTGTACATAAGGGAACTCTGGGATCACTAGCTTAGATTTATGTACCTATCTGTACCGCAGTCATGTGAAGGCAGGTGAGGTGAATCTCATACTATGCATTTCCTGAATGCATAGTACCAATTTGTAAATAACTGCTGCTGCAATTTAGTCCATCTCAGTGCTCTCACAAGATACTGGTTACATTTGGCATTCAAATGCATCAACTTTTTTGGCTTTTTTGCCGAAAGTCTGTATTTTGTTCAGACATGTAAATATATGTAAATGAGGATATTTAACCCTGTTGCTAAATGTTATAGTAGAAAAAGGTTCACTCCTTTTTTTAAAGAAATAAGGCCAAGATTTTAAACCTATTCTATTTGGAAGTAGTTTGGTCTCATTGATTTAGAAAGTTATATGCTTAAATTTCTTAAATTATAACCTTAAGGATAGTAGGAATTTGATGATTCTGTGTTCCATATGTGGTTTTGGTGTTGTGCATTCTGTTTTGTATGAGGTTCCACAGTGAGAATGAGGATTAAAAAGAGATTCTGGATGACTGTCTCTTATGTGGAAACCATTCCTTGAGCACAGGATAAGATGGGGGTGAAAATATGTGATTATGTAATAAATGACTATCAAAGTAGCGCATAAAGGAGCTGAATTAAGATTACAATAGCAAATCATAAATAGCATCCATAGCTCTTCAGCACTGGCTTTTCAGACTTACTTTTTAAACAGTTCTTGGGATACACCATTCTGCAGAGATGTACCCGTTTCATAGAACTAGAAAAGGGTCTCAGGTTGTGGGGAATATGCCAAGTGTCTGTCATACAGCTCATGTAGAAACTGTACCTACACAGTGATTCATTGGCATAATAGTTTTACTGAATTGATAAAATAACACAAATTTAATCTTAAACTTTAGTTGCAATGATTAACAAAACATTAACTCAGTTTTGTTCTTGTTCTGCTGAATTCAAATGTCAGTTTAAAAAAAATGTATTTATATTCTAATTTTAGATGGTATGGTAAAAGAACTATCAACCCAACTTACTGCCCTTTAATCCAGCAACCCACATATTAATAGCACACACAAAGACTAATAAACAGTCTGTGGTGTCCGAAAAATTCAGTGATGTAGGTGAGTGGACAGTGGATAGATACTAATCTCCTCCTCCACTTCCCTATGAAATGGACTGTGAAGAGGGAAACATCAAGAGCTTGCTAACTGGAAATGTAACATCCAGATGAAGTAATCTGTCACTTAGGGTGAGGGATGGCAAAGCAATAAAGCATATCTACAGGTAAAAGGTGAAGTTGATGGCTATGGTTCAAGTTGAGGCAGTTGTTGAGAAAAAATATTGTCACAATAATGAAGACCAGCAGGCATAAGCAGTTCCTCAGGTACCACATTAAATTATTATTTCCACTTCTTTAGAAATAACTGAGATGTACAACATGAAAACCATGCTAGGTAATTTTGTAGATATGTTCCACAGCATAATAGGTTTTTCATTTTGCCTTCAGGAAAGAAAATGTACCTTCATCAGAGCTGCAATTTTCTGTGTTTATTTGTAGTCCCACAGGTTCAACTGTATGGCTTCATCAGCAAGTTCTGCTCCCTCAGTTCTCATCCATAGCCTCTCTACTCAAGCATTCATTCTTTAGAGGAAGAGTTCCTTCACTTATTATATGTCTTCATTTTAGCTATTTTCTTCAAGGAATCCTAACAGGAAGATTCAGGTGTAATTTATATGTATGGCATTATTGTCATATCTCTGTGCATTTCATTTAGTGTAATCCAGGGAAACTACTATTTTTAGGAGCAGTTGCAGTTAACAGAGAAGATGACTTAGTGTTGTTATGCTTACGTCATTTGGAAACAAAATATTTTACTCTCATTCTTGGTGAGATACACTTTAGACTTCGAAGGATGATTAGGTGAAACATTAATCTAGTCCTGTGACTTTGCTCACAACCTTTTACATTTAACTTTTTGATACAAAATTCATATGTGTAGATAAATAGTGAAATCACAGTCTCACAACACAGACATCCATCAATGTAAGTATATATGAAAAAAGAAAGAACTGCAAAATGTATCATTGTCCTTTGCTATCACAGGTAAACAAATGCTTTGAGGTGTTAAGCTTGGTTGTATTTTCCAACAGAGATTAAATAACAGCATTTCTCCAGATTAGAATAAACAGTATGCAGTAGTTGAATCAAAGTAACAGAAAATTTTAAAGGTGGTTAAATCAGAATAAGCAGAGAAAACAAAAGGTGCCAAAACCAGCTGAATCGACCTCTGTTGTTTCTTAGTACAAAATTACCATGCTCTGCTCTCTAGATTCGAAATACATCAAGCCTCATAGGTGTTTTCTATCTTCTGTTTTTCCCCTTCAGCAATGATCTTTCTTCAATAACTCAATAAAAGACAACATAATTTATTTCTTTTTATTTCATCTTTTCATATTTTGATGATTGTTTTTTTAAAACCACTGCTGCTTTGAGAAGTGACAGTGTCCAATGCTGAGAAGCATTTCTGATTAAATATAAATACCAAATGCAGGGCCATGCAAGTCTCTGTTCTTAAAGAGTTACCACATGAAATCACACCACAATATTTTCACATTTTGTGCGAGTACGGGTCAGAGAACATGACAAATGAAATATGTTATTCATAATAGGATCATAGAATAATTTAGGCCAGAAGCAACTTCAGGAGGTCTCCAGCCCAAACTCCTGCTCGAAGTCAGGTCCGTTGTGAGGCCAGACAGGGTTGCTCAGGTCTTTTTCCAGTAGAGGCTGAAAAAACTCCAAACGCGGAGACTACTCAATCTCTCTGGGCAACCTGCTCCACTGCTAGACTGTCTTAATGGGAAGAAACTTTCTTTTTAAAGATGGTTTGAACCTCTCTTGTTTCATTTTATGCCTGTTGTCTCCTGACTTCCCACCACATACCGCAGTGAAGAGCCTGACTTCATCTTCTTGATAATCTTCCTGTAGGCATGGGAAGGCTTCTGTTGCTTCCCCCTCTCCCCAGAACCTCTGGAGCCTTCCCTTTTCCAGACTGAACAAATCCTGCTCCCTCAGCCACTGGCTCATGTTTGGTTTGCTGCCTACCAGGACCTCCAAGATCTCCCTGCAGAGCTGCTCCCCAGTCAGTCCCAGCCTTCCCAATCTTGGAAGTCTCATTTGTTGCTTAAACAAGTACAAGTCTCTGGCTGCTTCTTCTCTTGTGCAGCTGGATGATTTGAACCGTTTTTTCTGCAGGATCTCTGTGAAGATTCCGTCAATCTTTTTCAGATTCTCTGACACTGCACAGTCTGCTCGCCTTCTCCTGTCAGCAGTGCAGGTCCTCAGCCCGAGCACACCCCCTACAGGCAAGGACAGCATCTTCTCCTGTCCCAGCCCATGGAGAGGTACCAGCCCCTTCCTGCAGCCCCAGACCTGGATGACCACATCTGCCCTCCAGAACTCTGAGTCAAGTGCTACCTCTGCGGTACCACTCGTTACTCCAGCTGGTGCTAGGGACTGCACGCGCCCAAGTTTAGTGAGCAGGCCCATGCTGTTTTTCGCAGCGTTCCGGCTCTCTTCCACGGACTACTCTTCTGCATGAGCTACTGCATCTGTTAGCTACTACTTGCTGCACTATAGGTTAGATAGCTGTATAGATCTTATGCTAGCAGTGGATGTTTGACACTCCGTAATCAGAATTCAGTTGCAGACAAAAGGTCTAAGTGTCTTTTGAGCAGGAAAGGCTAGCAGAGCTTTTTACAAACCGAGTTTGCTAGAAGTAAAAGCCTGTAGTACCTACGCTTTTCCAGCAGCAGTAGGCACCCCAAAATTCTTAGGCGAACTCCAGGAAGTCCTCCAATCACCTCAGGCAATAAAACCCAGAAATTGCTGTGCAAAGTGTTGTGTCTGTTAGTTGACTCTGTTTGGTGCACACTGGGCAAATGAGGTTTAAGTTCAAATAAATTGCCTATATATTACTTGTGTAGCCCTATAATGCCTGTTTTTTGAGTGAGTCTTCTGCTTTATGCATAACCTACAATAAATAGGTTATTTACCTATCTGGATGCCTTATACTATACACTCCAGTAAAGTCTCTACTACTGTCAAGAGATTTATTTAAGCTAATCATCACAAAGGGATTTTGCGTCTTCTACAGGAACAGAATGCCTGAACATTCTGCTTTTCTTTACACTCATAAAAGTTGTGCAGAAAGTAATGTTGAGAAACTCCTCTCCCACATTAAACAACTACGATGGTTTCTCTTAAGCAGACCATTATTAATTGTCTTCAGAACTATTTCAGAAGATTGATTCATGCATAAAAATGCATTTAGTCAAAGAATTCAGGTTTCAGCAACTCTGCTTAGAAAAGCTTTATAATTTTCTTCTTGAAGAAAGATCTTTAATTACATCGGAAAAATAGAGTGGGATTTATGCATATATTCTAATTATGTACTAGTAAAACTGAAAAGCTCTTCGTTAAAACCATGTGGAGAAAAATCAGACACATGCCAGCACTTCATTACTGAGAACTGAAGAGGAATTGTGTGGTGGCTTATTACAGCATTACATAAATAGAAGGGCACTCTACATATTGCATATGTCGACACAGTCTTTTAGATTAAAAAATAGGCTGATTTTGAGAAAACAGAAGAGGATACAAATTAACTTGGTTAATTAAACCAAAGCAATCAATTCTACGTAGTGATACTAGCACCTTACTACCTGTTTAGTAGAGCAAGCATAATAATAAACGTGTTCTTTCTAAGTTAAATCTGTATATACACACCCACGCACAGATCTATATGGAGAATATAAGATGAAAGACCAAGGTTCATTCAGCCACAACATAATTAGATCTAAGTGATCATCAAATAGTATAGTTAGCTTATACAATTATTAATATGAATTACATGCTTCTAGCATGACCAGACTCTATGACATGTTTTCTGTTTAAACATAAGCCTTTGTGATGCAGGGTGTTCTCATGTTGTAAACAAGAACAGCTGGTGCACAGGCTGTGTTACAACACACTGTAATAACAGTACAATAGACTTATTGTTACGTCTAAGATTGTTCATAAAGAAGTTATTCATATTTTAAACACAGAATTACTGCGCACTTTTTGCCAAATTGCAGACCCTCACGAACAATTCCCTTTGAGTCACAAGCACATGGCTTTTCATTTCTTAGGATCAGTCCGTAAGATGACAAAATAATTAAGACTCATGAGGGGGTTGGGTATGTACAAAATCCAGATGCTGGCCCTGAATTCATAGAAGGGAACCAAATAATCTCTGAATCTGAGCAGGGTAGGGGGGATAACAGTAGAAGTTAGAAATGAGAAAGGAAATAACTGTGTCCCTACAGTGAGTCCCTCACATTTGGCCAACTCCTGCAGCTCTTCCTGTGTTATCAAGATCCTTTATATTATATGCCTATCCATAAAAAAGCATATTGCTGTATATTCTGAGTGAACCAGCTCATTAAATGTAAGGAAAGTTGACATAGTGGTTTGATGACAGGTAAGATCTCTTGTGGCTATGTATATAAAATACCTACCTCATTATTTGTCAGGTAATAAAGCACCCTAAATTATGCATAGCACACATATCACTGCATGATTAAACAACATAAATAATTTCCTAATATTTGCAATATCTCATTTCTACCTCTATCAGTAAGTATTTTCAATGAGAGGTATTACAGAAATTTTTTAGGTTAACTTCCAAGTAGGACACATATGAATGAGAGTCTTCCACCGTCATCAGTTCTAGTCTTGTCTTATTATCAACAATGTAATGTTTCTTAAACTGATCAAATTTGATTTTAAACATCTAAGGTTTCTTGTCTAAATTATTTCTATGAGAAGAAACACAGAATTACAGAAAGGTTGAGGCTGGAAGGGACTTCTGGAGGTCATCTGATCCAATCCCACAGCTCAAGCAGAGCCACCTAGAGACAGTTGCCCAGGACCATGTCCAAATGGCCTCTGAATATTTCCAAGGATGGAGACTCCACAACTTCCCTGCACAACCTGTGCCAATGCTTGGTCACCCTCACAGTAAAAATGTGCTTCCTGATGTTCAGATGGAACATCCTGTGTTTCAGTTTGTGCCCATTGCCTCTGGTCCTGTCATTGGGCACCACTGAAAAGAGCCTGGCTCCGTTCTCTTTGCACCCTCCTTTTAAGTATTTGTATACATTAATAAGATCCCCCCCTTCAGTCTTCTCTTCTCTAGGCTAAACAGTCTCAGCTCTCCAGGTTTGGCCTCACCAGTGCTGAATAGAGGGGAAGGATCACCTCCCTTGACCTGCTGGCAATACTTTGTCTAATGCAGCCCAGGATACCATGAGCCTTGTTTGCCACAAGAGCACATTGCTGGCTCATGTTCAACATGGTGTCCACCAGGACCCCCAGGCCCTTTTCTGCCAAGCTGCTTTCCAGATGAGTGGCCCCCAGCCTGGGGTTGTTCCTCCCCAGGTGCGGGACTTTGCACTTCTTTTTGTTGATCTTCCTGAGGTTCCTGTCATCTCATTTCTCCAGCCTGTTGAGGTCCCTTCTGGATGGCAGCATGACCCTCTGATGTTATCAGCCACTCCTCACAGTTTTTTGTCATCAGCAAATTTGCTGATGGTACTCTCTGTCCTGTCATGAGGATCATTAATAAATACGTTAAAAAGGCCTAGACCCAATGTTGACCCCTGGCGTACACCATTAGTTACTGGCCATCAACTAGACTTCATTCTAGTGATCACCACCCTCTAGGCCCAGCCATTCAGTCGGTTTTCGAACCACCTCACTGTCTGCTCATCCAGCCTATACCTCAGCAGCTTATGTATGAGGAGCTTACGGGAGACAGTGTCTAAGGCCTTACTGAAGTCCAGGTAGACAGTATCCACTGCTCTCCCCCCACGTACAAGGCCAGTCATTTCACTGAAGAAATTTATGAAGTTGGTCAAGCATGACTTCCACTTTGTGAAACCATGCTGACTACTCCTCATGATTTTCTTGTGCTTAGTGTGCCTGGAAGTAGTTTCCAGGATTAGCTGCTCCACCGCCTTTGCAGGGATTGAGGTGAAGCTCACCAGCCTACAGTTCCCTGGGTCCTCCTTCTTGCCCTTCTTGAAGATAAGAGTGACATTTGCTTTTCTCCAGTCTACAGGTGCTTCTCTCTGTTGCCATGATTGATCAAAGAGTATTAAAAACGTCTTTGCAGTGACATCAGCCAGCTTCCTCACACTCATGGGTCACCCCATCAGGGCCCATGGACTCATCAAAGAATCACAGAATGGTAGGGGTTGGAAGGGAGCTCTGGGGATCATCTGGTCCAACCCCTTTGCCAAAGCAGGGTCACCTAGAGCAGGTTGCACAGGACTTCGTCCAGGCAGGTTTTGAATATCTCCAGGAGGAAACTACACAACCTTTCTGGGAAGCTTGTTCCAGTGCTCTGTCACCCTGAAATTAAAGTTCTTCCTCATGTTCAGATGGAACTTCTTATGGTTAACTTTGTGCCCGTTGCCCCTTGTCCTGTCACTGGGTATCACTGAAAAGAGTCTGGCCCCATCCCCATCTGGCCCCATGACTTAGTGAGATGAAGTGCGTCCTCAGCAAGTTTGTAGATGACACCAAGCTGAGTGGTGCAGCTGACACATCAGAAGAAGGGGATGCCATCCAGAGGGACCTGGACAACCTTGAGAAGTGGGCTTGTGTGAACCTCTTGAGATTCAACAAGGTCAAGTGCAAGGCCCTGCATCTGGGTTGGGGCAACCCTCACTATCAGTACAGGCTGGGGCATGAAGGGATTGAGAGCAGCCCTGCCAAGCAGGACTTAGGGATACTGGTGGATGAAAAGCTTGACATGAGCCACCAATGTGCGCTCACAGCCCAGAAGGCCAACCATATCCTGGGCTGCATCAAGAGAAGCATGGCCAGCAGGTCGAGAGAGGTGATTCTGTCACTACTCCACTCTGGTGAGACCCCACCTGGAGTCTGCATCCAGCTCTGGAGCCTCCCAGCACAAGAAGGACCTTCTTCAGGGTAAACAAGCCCAGTTCCCTCAGCCTTTCCTCACAGGAGAGATGCCCCAGTCCCCTAATCATCTTCATAGCCCTCTGCTGGACTCTCTCATCTTTCTTGAACTGGGGAGCCTGTGCATGTCCAGTTTTCTTAACTATTCCTTGGCCTGATCCTCTTCCACCAATGACAGACCTTTCTTGCTCCAACCTTTCCCTGTCATCTCTGGGACCTGGGATTCCTGAAAGCAAGGCTTGCTAGCAAAGACTGAGGCAAAGGCAGCATTCATTACTTGAGCCTTTTCCATGTCCTGTAGTACCACGTCCCCTGTCTTGTTGAGCCACGGGCCCGTATTTTTCCTAGTCTTCCTTTTGTGTCCTGAGAAGAACAAGTTGTTTTCCATATCACTCTAATCATGCAATTTGGAAGAAGGGACCGGAAGTCAAGATGCTGCAGTGGTGCCTCATTGTCTCTTGGAGGTCCTCTGATGGAATGAGAATATTTGCCTGCTTGAAAGCCCAGTTTTAGACTGG